CATACTTTCCTTAGTTTATTTGATCGAGCCTCATCCTCAATTCTTGTGTTTATCCTTCGGGATAGATACAGGATTTGAGATACAATGTTCTTTCATTTTAAACTATGAAAAATATGGAGTCAGTTTGATTTCATACGTCAACGTCCTTCCGAAGCGGGCGACGGGATTTCGATTCCGAGGACCGACAGCTTCTTTCGGGCAACCCCACAACCAAACCATCCCCGAAATAACGCCGACAGTACAAACTGACATTTTCCAAGCCAACAAACATCAAATTCACTGTTCTAAAGCAAACCAACATCCTAAACACTGAAATATAAATATCAAAATTCAAAACATAAATATAGATAGTGTTCACTAGAAAGGAAATGCAATCCAACAAAACAAACTAAAACAAATAGTACTATACAAAACATTTCGTGCATAAATTAAGATCACACATCATCTTCAGTATTGTTCTTCTTCTTCACTTTTGTCCTCCTGGATATCTCCCATAGATTGATAGTGCACATATAGATTATAGAAGGGTCAAAATGGAAATTCATCAGTTCAATTTTTCTCCTCAATCCAAGCATGTTTTTTGAACATACGTACCAATCTATCTTCAATAAGCCTTGTATGTTCAAAATGTTCCTTTAGTCTCCAATCTAGATGATCCAACATTTCAGTAATATTCCCAATCATGTGCATGAGAGAATTGCATGCATAAGATTATGCACATCTTTTTCTATCTTCTTGATCCTCTTTGAAAGCGCACTCGAGTTGTAGTAGGGCTGAAAAAGTGATGAATTTTGAGATCCTTGATCCATCAGTACAATCATATCATTTTCATCTCCCATTCCAAAATAGTTGCAGTAGACTTCAGGGTCCATTGGCTTCCAAGGAAGTAACACTTTTTCCTAACTTTTATACGGTACTTGCAATTGACTGCAAAGTAGGAAAATAGTGGATGGATGTTCCAGTCTAGTTGCAGATCCATTCACAATCAACCCCAAAACTAATATCACAATAATAGCTCCAACATCAATAGGTTCTCCGGTTTGAATACAGTAATTCAAAATGACACTCTCCTTAGTGACATTGTTAATTTTCATGGTAGGCAGTAATTTCGATGCAATAAAGAAGTTCCAGGCTTTTGAAACTGGATTTAAAAATAATGAAGGAAAACTTACATTTTCATAATCTCTGGTCTCCCAATAAGTATCTTCATTCGTAAGGTAACAATAGAGTCATTCATACTCTCTCTGGTAGGGGTAAAGTTTGCGTACTGGCAGATAGACACATTTTCAATCATAAACATCTCATTTTTTCTTGAAGGAGTGAATTGTGCAAGCCTACCACACACTTAAATCATTTCTTGGTTCATCCCATAAAGATTTGCATAAAATTCTTTTACTACAGGACAACAACAACGACAGTAGTGTAGCAAAGCACTTTCCAACGCCCTGCTAAATAGTCTCTTCTACTCGAGTATTCGGCGTGTTAAATCCTTGATTCACAAATCTCCTTTCTTTGATAATCTTCTTCACTAGAACTCAATCATGTAATTTCTATGCATCAAAACTGATGAACTTTCTCCGTCCGGTTGAAAATTCCAAATCTATACTAGAACTCAATCATGTAATTTCTATGCATCAAAACTGATGAACTTTCTCCGGTTGAAAATTCCAAATCTATCGGAGTTTCTATAGTGGGAAGCCATAGGAATTGAAAATTGATGACTCTTCCCTTGTTTTCTCCTCTAAAATATGGTTTGGAATCTGTTTTTAGGAGTTATTTGAAGAAGAAACCGCCAAAAAATGCCAAAAACTTCCATTTGACACATTTTAAACATTTTCGGACCTGCGACGCATCATGCGCCAACTCTCTGGAAAGTGACGCATGATACACCTAAAATATATAGTGTTTTTAGACATATTTTTATATCTATTTTTGAGATATTACATTTTAATGGATGGTTTTTTGTGTTTTTCTTGCAGATACAGGTAAAAAGGGTGAAAAATGCTTAAAGGAGTGAAAAATGATCGAATTTGGAGCAAAAATGTGAAAATGTGCAAAAAAGTTTTGGCGCCTAAGCGCTAGATCCGACGCTTAAGTGC